ACACACACACACACACACACACACACACACACACACACACACACACACACACACACACACACACACACACACACAACACACATATAGACATACACACACATATACACATACACACACACAAACATATACACATACACACACACACAACATAACATACACACACACACACACACAAACATATACACATACACACACACAAACATATACACATACACACACATATACACACACATACACACATACATACACATACACGCACACAAACGCACATGCACACGCACACAACCATACACGCACACACACGCACACACACAGATGCACACGCACACGCACACTCACATACTTACATACATACATACTTTATATATATGTACAAGATTTAGTGAATTTCTAATATCTGAGTGCAACTGTGAATTGGTTAAGGGAAAGGCAACATCAGGGGAATCAGTGATCTAAATACTAGTGGATTAATGCAAATTCAGAATGAAATACATCACTAATAATAATTACAATTAAAAAGTGCAGTGATAAGGGTTGGTGTTCAGCTCCAAATTGTAACGGGTTAAGTGATTTGCATGTGGCCAAAAGTGGACAAGCAGCGGTGTCCTTGGGCAAAGGGACTCGAGTGTTGATCAAGTGACGTGCTCAGGGAAGTAAGGAAGTGAAGTGGAGGGTAGTAAAGAATTCAGGATTGCTGGGAAGTGCAGTTTTTTTTTTTCTCTCTCTCTCTCTCTTCTTTAATGTTGTAGTCATATCTCAGGGAGAATAAATTAGTAATAGTGAATTTACAGATGGGGATGAATTCATAGTGCTGAAAAATTGGCTCATTTTCAATGCAAGGGAGTCAGAAAGTGAATAAAGTTCTAGTAAATTCCACATTGAGACTGTTGGCAAACACTTAGAAGCTTCATTTGAGTAACTGAATAATTTTTTTCTTATTGAAAAAAAATCTTCAGTTTAATCTTGCTATCTTCCAAAGTGATTTTCCAACAGACAGTGAAGTGCAGTGCATAATTTGGAACACAAGTGTTAGTGCTTCTTTCATATATCTTACTCTATAGGTGTTGTTTTACCATGAAAAAAAAAAAAAAAAAATATTCACCACATTGGTCAAAAAGTTAACATACTTTCAATAAGAAGGGCTTAGTTAATGTATAGTGTTCATCTAAATATTAAATTAAAGAAAAAAAAAAAAAGTAAATGTAGGATGCATTGAAAATTAACCCTTTTTGAAAAGTGTTGTGCAATTCATTATCTTAATATTATTATCTTAAGGTGGCCCTTCTGTGAATAGTGCAGTGCATTGTACCTCCTTGAGTCAGAAATTAGTGTTTAAAAAAAAAGGAAAGGGAGTGTACAAGTTTTAAAGGTGTAATGTCGAGTGTGAAGTGTGGCTTTGTGGTGAGATAGTGGTGCCAGTGCAGTGAGACAGTGGTGTTAGTGTATTGATAGTGAAGTGATTGGTGATAGTGAAGACAGTGCAGCGAGTGTAGTGATAGTGCAGTGAAGATAAGGAATATGCAAGTTATCAGTGCAGTGAACTATTTTGTAAATCCTGATAAAATTACTTTAGTGTTAGATGTAGTATCTTATACCAGCTTTCATTGACGAGTATTTTAGCCCCTATAGCAATATATACAGATTATTAAAAGTGCTCATAGCAATTATGAGCTCTTGTTTTAGGTGGACTTTGAACTTCCAGAACTACAAAAAAGTATTTGTATGGTTATAGAGAACAAATAAATAAGAATCTCTACTTTGCATTTCCTTGCAGCCATTTATTAAGTCAATAGAGTCATTAGATGTGAAATATTGCTTATTTTTACTAGTTAACTATATTCATATTTCAGTTTGAAAGGTTTACAGAAAACATTTAAAGCATAATTTCCTTTAAATTGTTGGTAATACCAGTTAAAAAACTATAAATTATAATAAAGAATAAAGGCTTTCATTAAGATCGAGAAACTGCCCTGTCACAATTACCAAAGAGTCAGGGTCATGATCATGACGAGTCTCGTAAAGTATCTCGTAAAGTAAGTATAATCCATATTCATGAATTCAATACACACACACCTCAAAAATAAGTATGAGGGGGTTTAGCTTTTCTTTTCTTTTTATATAAATAGTATTTTATGTGGGATTTGCAGAAAAAATAGCAGGATTTCTGAAACTAATTTTTTCTGTGGATATTGAATTCATTGGGAAACTTAACAATATCTTCAAAATTTATTGAAAAATGCATATTTTAGAAGCATAGAAAATCCCAATAAAACTTCAGAAGACAATGGAATAAGAGGCAAAATTCTGTCTGTTCTTACTTCTAATGACTGCATATGGTCCTAAAAGATAACATGTTACATTAGTAAGACTGTTTCACATTGTCTAGTAAAATTGGTGGCCCATATTTGTTATCAGTGATTTGGCCAAGAACAGAACTTGAATGCTCACATCCAGCACTGCATACCAAACAGTCAAATACTTTGAGCATTGATGAACAAACTAGTACTACTCTTACTAGTACTACTACTACTACTACTACTACTATTCCTTTTCCTTTTCCTTTTCCTTCTCCTCCTCCTCCTTTTCCTTCTCCTTCTCCTCCTCCTTTTCCTTCTCCTTCTCTCCTTCTCCTTCTCCTCCTCCTTCTTTTCCTTCTCCTCCTCCTTCTTTTCCTTCTCCTCCTCCTTCTTCCTTCTCCTTCCTTCCTTCTCTCCTTCTCCTCCTTCTTTTCCTTCTCCTCCTCCTCCTCCTTCTTTTCCTTCTTCTCCTCCTTCTTTTCCTATCTTTCCTTCTCCTTCTCCTCCTTCTTTTCCTTCTCTCCTTCCCTCCTTTCCTTCTCCTTCTCCTCCTCCTTTTCCTTCTCCTCCTTCTTTCTTCTCCTTCTCCTCTTTCTTCTCCTTCTCCTCCTTTTCCTTCTCCTTCTCCTTTCTCTCCTTCTCCTCCTTCTTTTCCTTCTCCTTCTCCTCCCTTCTTTTCCTTCTCCTTCTCCTCCTTCTTTCCTTCTCCTTCTCTTCTCCTCTCCCTTCTCCTTCTCCTTTCTTTTCTTCTCTTCTCCTTTTCCTTCTCCTTCTTTCCTTCTCCTTCTCCTTCTTTCCTTCTCCTTTCTTCCCTTCTATCCTTCTTTTCCTTCTCCTTCTCTTCCTTCTTCTCCTTCTCCTTCTCCTTCCTCTTCCTTCTCCTTCTCCTTCCTCTTTTCCTTCTCCTTCTCCTTCCTCTTTTCCTTCTCCTTCTCCTTCTTTCTTCTTTCTTCTTTCTTCTTCTTCTCTTCTTCCTTCTTCCTTCCTTCTCTTCTTCTTCTTCTTCTTCCTTCTTCTCTCTTCTTCCTTCTTCTTCTTTTCCTTCTCCTTCTTCTTCTTTTCTTCTCCTTCTCCTTCTTCCTTCTTCTTCTTTTTCTTCTCCTTCTTCTTCTTTTCCTTCTTCTTCTTCTTCTTCTTTCTTCTTCTTTTCCTTCTCCTTCTTCTTCTTTCCTTCTCCTCTTCTTCTTTTCCTTCTCCTTCTTTTTTTCCTTCTCCTTCTTCTTCTTCTTCTTCTCCTTCTTTCTTCTTCTTCCTTCTCCTTCTTCTTCTTTTCCTTCTCCTTCTTTCTTCTTCTCCTTCTTCTTCTTCCTTCTTCCTTCTTCTTCTTCTTCTTTCTTCTTCTTCTTCTTCTTCTTCTCTTCTTTTCCTTCTCCTTCTTCTTCTTCTTTTCTTCTCTTCTTCTTTCTTCTTCTTCTTCTTCTTTCTTTCTTCTTTTCCTTCTCCTTCTTCTTCTTTTCCTTCTCCTTCTTCTTCTTTTCCTTCTCCTTCCTCCATCTCCTCCTCCTCCTCCTTCCTCCATCTCCTCCTCCTTCTTCCTCCATCTCCTCCTCCTTCTTCCTTCATCTCCTCCTCCTTCTTCCTTCATCTCCTCCTCCTCCTCCTTCTTCCTCCCTTTTCTCCTTTTCCTTTTCTTCTCCTCCTCCTCCCTCTTCCTCTTCTCCTTCTCCTCCTGCTCCACCACCTCCTCCTCCTTCTCCTGCTCCTGCTCCAGCTCCACCTCCTCCTCCTCCTTCTTCTCCTCCATCTCCTCCTCCTCCTCCTCCTCCTTCCTCCTTCCTCCCTCCTCTCCTCCTCTCCTCTCCTCCTCTTCCTCCATCTCCTCCTCCTCCTTCTCCTTCTCCTCCTCCTCTCCTCCTCCTCCTCCATCTTCTCCTCCTCCTCCTTTCCATCTCCTCCTCCTCCTTCTTCCTCCATCTCCTCCTCCTCCTTCTTCTTCCTCCATCTCCTCCTCCTCCTTCTTCTTCTCTCCTCATCTCCTCCTCCTCCCTCCTCCTTCTTCCTCATCTCCTCCTCCTCCTCCCTCCTCCTTCCCTCCATCTCCTCCTCCTCCTCCTTCCTCCTCTCTCCATCTCCTCCTCCTCCTCCTTCTTCTCCATCTCCTCCTCCTCTCCTCTTCCTCCATCTCCTCCTCCTCCTCCTTCTTCCTCCATCTCCTCCTCCTCCTCCTTCTTCCTCCCTTTTCTCCTTTTCCTCGTTCTTTTCCTTTTCCTTTTCTTCTCTTCCTCCTCCCTCTTCCTCTTCTCCTTCTCCTCCTCTTGTTCTTGCTCCACCTCCTCCTCCTGCTCCTGCTCCAGCTCCAGCTCCACCTCCTCCTCCTCCTCCTCCTCCTCCTCCTCCTGTTCCTGCTGTTCCTTCAGAATTCTAGACTAGATTTTTAAAGTGTTTATTAGATCATAAAATTATGGATGGGTACACATTTGTAAGCCATTACCCATATTCAATTAAGTAGGGAATTACAGGCTAAAACAAACATTGGGACCATTGAGAATCTCAATTTCATGACTGGTGTCTTTTCTAATCCATATGATTGCAGTATATGTTTATGCTCAAATTATAAATTCTTTACATGACTGATTCTTGCATGAAGAATTGAAGAAATTAAATAACCATAATATGCATTTTGTTACAACAGAAATTGCATATTTAATTTACCAAACCAATCTGTCATATTACTTAAAGCAAAGGTTAAAACAAAAGCTTACACAATACATATCTTATTATTTCCTATGCATGAAGCATAGAAATTTCTTTTATTTCTCAACAGGTTTTCATATCGCTTGTACTAAACAATACTTGGTTCCTCAACAAGAAGCAGTAAATGATATGCCTTGTCTGTGAAGTCTTACATACATGTTTGGTGCTCTTGAGTGCACTGCATGAGAGCACAGGTCAAATTATGAACTTTTTCATACTCACAATCTATAGCTTACTTTCAAAGTACGAAAAAGTAATGTTCAGCTTCTATATTCTTTGAAATTGATCCAACAAACTTTTAACATGCAGTTAAGAATGATTATGGTCCTAACAAATTGTCTTACAAAATAAGAAGACAAAATAGTTATGTGGTGTTTCCTTATCTAGTACTTATAAAACTAATGACTTGAAATTTTTTTAAAGTAAGAACAGCAGTACAGTATAAATATGATAAAAGAAATAAAGCAGAGGTATGATGCTCCAATGAAAGTATACCTTTCTATGTTAACTTAATGTAGTATATATTAATAAAGAATAGGAAAACTCCACACTATACTTTGCCGAGTTTTCTTCTTTCTCTCCAATCAAATCCACTTTAAAAGTATTTTGCATATATCAAGAAAATACCATTTATAATATGAGACAGCAGTATGCACAAATTTCTTACTACATTTTTGTAATGAGAAGAAAGCGAAAGTACACCTTTCTTGAGTTTAACATATGATTTAAAATTACTATTTAAGAGGCAAATACATCAGAGAGGTCTCCTTATCTCCCTCCACAAAGCTTTTTTCATTACTACAGTCATGCTCATATTTTAAAAATATGGGAACTAAATCAAACATTAACAAACATACCTGCTAAAGAGGCCTCAAAAAATATTTACTTCTACATATCTACCTCTATGATTCTCTATACCTGATAACTATCTACTCATCTATACCTGATGATTCTACCTGTTACTATCTATATAATTAACTCTGCATGATTCACTTTATATTGTCTATGTACCTACCTACCTACTAAGCTAATTTATGAATTATCTTAGTACATGAGAATGACAGTAGCAAATCATATAATTAATTGACTCCAAGATAAGAAAAAGATAGAAAAAAGATACAACTGAGTACCCTTATACAACAAAACATTAGACTTATAGCATGTAAAGTTCAGATGATAAACCTTGAAATACTTTTTACAAGATTATCAGATTTGTATGCTGATATATTAACATTTTAACACTGCTTTACAGAATACGTTTTCATCCATACACTACTGAGCATATTTTCCTTACCCTATTAGCATAGGCCTGGGACTATCACCACACTTAGCACTAAAGACTTCAATACATCAAATAGGTGATTTTTCAGCTCTAGTATCAGATCATTTTTCAGCTATCATCAACACCAAAGCTAAAAAAAAAATCCATAAAACTAATCTCTTAAAAAATATTTCTTTTCCTGGTATAAAAACTTTAAACTCTAGAAATGTATGATAACTTTTTAAGTGTACTGGCAGTAGACAGCCCTATGGTATATGTAATCATTTTTTAAAATTTATTACCATCAAGGTAGCAAAGTAAACAGAAAATAGATTTACATTACATGGGGCAGGACCTAGCACATCTTCCTTACATATTACATTTCATTTCTCAATAACTACATAAAAGCAGAGCAATATTTTGGACTAGTATAAGGATTTTAATATTACATTCCATTCTTGAATGATGGTTTATTATCACTATAATAAACATAATAAATAAATAAAAAGATATTATTTCATCTCATACATATCTGATGAGCTTCATGCAACTGTTTTTTCTTTGCTCACATTGTAGAAGGATTCTTTTAATATACACAATATTTTTATTAATTTTACATTACCTTTTACTCAACAACAACCTGTTCATTCTAAAACCTCATACAATAACATACAAAGCACACATAGATAAGCGTGCATCCAAATGCAAGCAAACCACATTTACACCCACACGCACTACTTGAAGAACATATTTACACACATATACATTTTTTATGCATAGAGCAGATGCATACATACATACATACATACAACATAGGCTTATGTATCACACAAAAGCCTATACATAGGACAAAAGACTCATTTAAAATATTTTGTTGTGCTTTTCTGATGTGGATACTGAGGACAGTGTCCATTAAGTTCTCAAATATTTTCAATGAAATGGTTGCTGCCTGGCAGGTTTATACATATCCTGTTCACTATAACATTTCGTCTATTAATTTTGCTTATACTCTTGTAGTTCCACACTGTTTGGTCACCAAGGAGTCGGTCCATTACTACGCCTGTCTGATACTACCTAGTTACCCTATTCCATGAATTGTCATAAAGAAAAGTTTGTTTTTATTACTAGTAGTACTGTTAATAATGTAATAATAGTAATAATGTCAAAACATTTGAGGAATGGGGTAAACAGGTGAGGCCATATAGGGTTATTAACTGACAACTTGGTGACTAGTGCTTGTGAAGCCTCTATGTGTAAACAAACTTGACATAACAAAACTACAGTGGACAGTAGACGTACCCAGTGCCATTAGATTTATAATTACATCCTTTCCATGCAACAAAATACAATAATTTCAACAGAAAATCAAGCAGACATAAATATTTATTATTCATTATCAAGTCTCCCTAATATCATTCAATTAACAGTAATTTTCCCCTAATCATTTGCATAAAATAATATGAAATGCAAGTATGACATAGAAATATAAAAATTGATAGCTATGACTAATGATGATGATAGTAACAATAATAGCACTAGCAATATAAATATAAAATGATAATTAAAGGAAAGAATCATAATGATAACAACCATTAACTATAATAATTATGAAGTACAAGGTTTCTTATTCATCTTGCCACACACACTCACTCTTCTCTTCATTCTTCATTGAAGGATATGGATATAGAATGTTGATATAATCTTGGATATAGTTTCATTACATTACAAAATAATTTCAGACTACAGTACTTGTGAAACATAATAACTGTGCATAATTATTATCACTGCCCTGTGATCAAAACAGTTAAGAAAAAAAAAAAAAAAAAAAAAAAAAAAATCTAAAAATGTCCATCCATCCAAAGATTTCACAACATTTTCAACCACACAACTGTGATCAAGTTCCCCTGCTCTACAATGGAATACATAATGCACCATAGCAATGGGACATGGTGTAATGGATTCATGCCCATTATTATGCTTCCTAGTGACAGAAAAACACATTATACTCAAAGTACATTTAGTAGCATAATATGAGAAAACAGTTTTTAAATATTCTCCTGATAAACTTGCGTATAGTTGTTTTTTCTGCCATTTTATAAACACATTAGGGTGTTTTTACCATCCACACCTTCTAGTGCTGTTGCAACATAACCGCTTCCAATGCAAAACTTCTAAATATCTCCCTACTTAATCTACACTAAAGCTGATGCTGGTAATGATGAGTGCTTGGGTTTTTCTTTCTTCAAAAATACTTTGATACAGCCATTGAAGTCTGCAGATACCAGTACATATCTGTAGGATGCATAAAATAGTGGATTACTCAAACAGGACTAATAGTATAAGGTAAAGTTCAGTACCAAGCAACCTAAAGGATAATCATTAGCAATAGGCATTTATCTATAATATCAAATATTTCTCCTGGACAACTCATACAAAATCTATGACTGAGAGTTTATATAAGTAATTCATATCCACATGCTATTAAAGATACCTATTCTCTTTTATACCCTGTTCAACATCTATTTTATTAACTCAAACATTTTAGAACTGAAAATGGTACATGAAGTAATCAATGAAAGTGAAAATTTCCTATCTTTCTCATAGACTCAAACTAGTAAGCATGTACCCTTTCTTCTAGAACAGCAAGAATATTTTAGATTTACTTTACTCTCTGTATTTTAGCAATCCTGAAGGTGCAAATAAAAACAGGAAGAATTATAATTGAACATGACATAATGATACACTATATGTAGTCTCCATATACTTACCCCTTGTTGGTTGTCCCACTATCCTTATTCTGACTCGTTTGGTGTGGCTGCTGTTGCTGTGGATGCTGCTGCTGCTCCTGCTCTCCTGATTTGCTGAGAATCTCCTGCTGTTGTTCGATGAAGCTGAATACCAGTTCTGGGTGAGGTGCAAACACTGCACAAGTAACAACAGCACTGTGAGCTGAAAACAAAACAAAAATATAAATAAAAATAAATCTGCAAGGTGTGTAAAAAACAATGCCAGTATTATGTAGATAGTTATCACCCACTACATATTACACAACAGTACCTTTGACTCCTTCCCAGTACAAGTTTCTGTCTCTTCTTGCAGATGAGAATTTGGAGTAGTCATGATGAGTCTTCCAGATGTAGATACATTGATTTTCACTTCCAGCTACAATAAACTTGCCATCATGACTAGAAAGAATAAAAACTTATTAATCTCATACATAAGCACAAAAAACAATGATTAGATATACAAAAGTGAGGCACCCTACTGGAAATGATAAGACCATTTGCAATTAGTTACCCAAAATACCAGTTGAAATGAAGGTAGACAGACATGGCTTCTAATTCAAGATGTTAAACCTGGTGTGTGTGTGTATATATATATATATATATATATATGTACAGTGCATGCCATATGCTGTTGTATTCTGCATGAAAACCCTGATCTTGAAATATCACCAATACAGAAGAGCCTACCTGAATCCTGCACGGATCTGACTAGACATATTGGAGTAGCCCTTGTATTTGCATGACAGGTTCAAGTCACGCAAGTCGTACAGTCGTATTCTACTGTCGTTGCTTGTTATCAGCACCTGGAGATTTATCAAATATTTGCAAAAAGTTAAAGATGGTTGTAAAACAAATGTACAATTAATATCACAACTATGTTATTCATGATCAATATCAATTGGAAATCCCTTTTCTTCCCATCCTTTTATGTCTTTCAAAATGAAGTGTCCTTTCAAAACGTGATTCCAGGCTTTTGGAAATAAAATGACAAAAATACATGTAAATCACTATACCTTATCTTCGCCCGGTAAAGGTTCAATGCCGGTTATCTTTCTTCCTTTGGCATTCTTCCCTCTTGTTGATCTGACGTTGATTTGCGTGAAGTACTTCAGTTGCTCTGTCTCGTAGAATATACATCTTCCATCATATGTTCCTACGACAGTAAATTTACCATTCTGGAATAAAATCGGGAATTTTTGGGTGAAATTACATATATAACATATCTTCTGAAATCATTTGCTTGTTCCCTTCATATATGCCAAATTAAATAATAAAAAAATAGGAAATTTATAGACTTTAATGAAAGCACGTTATCTGCAGCACCTCAACCATAATCAAAATGTACCAAAAAATATCACAAATGATATACATCTAGCACTTTATATATCAGTCTCATTTCCGAACACTCAAACCAATGACAAGATCGAAACCAAACCAAATGAATCTTCACTCTTACCTGGCAGAAGTTTGCAGCCGTAATCAGGTTTGGTTGACCTCCCACCTCATTCCACAGCACTACTCTCTTGTCGGGGATGCTCCAAAGTCGTAGCTTTCCGTCTAGGGCACCAGATATGAAGTAACGGTCATCCTGTTGAATACATTGCAGATACTTCCACATTAATTTTCTATTTCTCTACCTATGTTTTAAAATGTAATATTTCCCATATTGTTGAATCTCTTCTGTCATGAACTAATCTCAAAAGAAATAGTTTACAGCAACATGGACATCACAAACTTTATAAGGTCAGAACTAAAAGAGCTTTTTCTCTACAGGTCAAATCATTACATAAAGAAGAAGAAGAAGAAGAAGAAGAAGAATGCTCTAGAAAATTCAAATACAGGGGGGTTACAGTTAAAACCACACTAGTTTTGCTTACCTTAGGATGAAAAGTTATTGCTGTGACAAAATCCATATGCTGGAAGATACATAAACACTCCTTCCGACTTATGTGCCACAGACGAACAGTTTTGTCCATTGATGAAGTCAATAAAAAGTAATTCTGAAAAACGGGTAAGCAACCCATTAAAACCTCCCTCTATACGCAAATGCATACATTCTAATAAACATGTAAAACAATGCCAATTGCTGAAATTTACCAACATATATATGGCCATCACATATTACCTTAGACCATGATATGTCAAGCATGTCTGCAGTGTGGCCAGTGTATACACAGAATGGTTTGGGCATGAAGGGAGCACTGCCATCGTCATTGGGGTCAAGCGAGCCGAGGTCTTCCCCTGACTGGCCGGAGTGCTGAGACACCAATGATTCTTGGGACGGTGTTGGAGATACCTAGGGAAGAAGTGGAAACGTGAATCTTACTGCTCAATGATGTATATGTAAAATTAATAACTACTGTGGCAATATCTGAAAAGAATAGAAGAAGAATTTTAATTCTGCTGCTAGAAGATGAAAAATCAACAACGAAATTCTACACTGAAATTCAAATCTATTAATTAATCAAATGTAATAACAAACTGGAAATATCTTTGTAGCAACAAGATCTGGCATAATGTATAACAGTAACAAATAATCAGAAAGCTAATCATTGATTGGTTCATCACCCACAATAATGCTAACTCACCTTGATATCAGCATTACACTTTGTCCTAATGTCAAGGAAGTAATTGAAGGCCTGCTTCAGTACCCATACCCTCAGCACATGATCCTGCCCAGCAGTAGCAAGTAATCGGCCACAACCACTGAATTTCATGCACCAAATGGGGCCTGTGTGCTCGCCTGAAAAGAAAAGGAAAAATTATGTCCAATTTCTCCACAAAATCAATCACACTATATTATCTAGAAGAGCAGAATGAGCTGGTAACATTTATTTATATTTCTTTGAACAAAGATTATGACTAACCTTATATTATAAAAAAAAAAAACTTTAAACTATAAAATCTAAAATTTTCTATAGAACTGATGCTTTATGCCAAATAATAAATTTCATTTCAAATTTCTGTTTGTCAAGTCTGATATCTCTATGTACACATTTTCCTCTTCCCCAATTTTCTCATTAGTGAATGGACTGTCATTTTACATCACTGTTTCTCAACTGCTAATGAATTGTCTTACATCTCAGTGGCCAAGGATTCGTACCATGTTATCTGAATGCACCTTTTTTCCACCATTTTCGGTTATCTTTTCTCTTTCTATAATAAGCCTTCTGATAAGTGTGTTTTCCCTTTCTGATTCCCTTCCCTTTTGTTTCCTGCCTCCAAAACAAGGGGTAAAAAAGGGTACCTACCTTTCTCCCTTCCCTCAATTATGAAATTGACAATTTCCTATTGGAACTTTGTAAACAGTTCCACAGTGTGAGGGTCTACAGTATACTCATGAAAAAGTTAATTCAGTTAGGTCTTGGTGGTTAATTCTCAACTGGTAACTTTTAACGTACCTGTTATTTCCTGGACATACATCAGGTTGTCAAACTCATGGGGTCCCTTGTGGCTGTGAGCAGTTTTGATCTGAAAATACCAAAAGAACCATGTTAGTTCATTACAGCAATCCTGACTGTTCGAGTGCCCAGCCTACACGTCACAAGCCCGGTCGAGTTGCCACTTATGTAACCTAATACCTGTATTTTCAGCTACATAATTGCTGTGATGCAACTGGATTCAATGGGCTAAGATCAAATTTTTTCTCTGGCTTTACTTTAAAATATTCCTATGCATCTGGTATTTTTCATAAACGTCAGTAAGATACACTAACAGTAATAACAATAATAACCATCCTTAGCCCATAAAAAAAAAATAAAGACACGCAATGCCATCATTCAATGCCTGGCAACTCAGATGGAAGTTCTGACCGACCTTAACATATTGCATAGTATCATGAGCTGGGGCATCATCTTCAAACACGTCCTTCTCCTCTCTGTGTCTGTGGGAAACCTCGTGTGCTAGCGACTTGGCCTTGTTCACAGCTGACTCCATTTTGCGACCAAGGAATTTTTTCAGCTGAGATCTATGAATGAGAATATAATCATTAAAAAGAGAAGAGTGAAACTGGATGGGCTGACAGGGAGAAAGGGAGAAGGCACAGGGAAGGAAATAAGGAGGGAGAAGGAGAGGGAGACACGGAGGGAGAGGAAAGAGAAAGAGAGAGGGGGGGACAGGGGGGAGGGAGGGAGGGAGGGAGGGAGGAGGGAGGGAGGGAGGAGAGAGGGAGAGAGGGAGAGAGAGGGAGAGAGAGAGAGAGAGAGAGAGAGAGAGAGAGAGAGAGAGAGAGAGAGAGAGAGAGAGGAGAGAGAGAGAGAGAGAGAGAGAGAGAGAGAGAGAGAGAGAGAGAGAGAGAGGAGAGAGTGGGAGGATAGAAAGAACGACATTGCATTGCCAGGATATCAATAAAAAAGGCATTCAAGTTTAAGCAGCACACAGTCTTTGACAAATCAGGTATGGACAAAGTAAACATTGAGGTTAACTTACGTTTTCTTCTTCACTGCTGAACTATCAATTTCTGGAAGTTTCTTTGCGATGACATCTGTCACACTCTCTTCGTCTGATTCTTGACCATCCACATTAGAGTTACTGTTGAAAATACCATGAGTGCTAAAACAAGGTCAAGCAACTTTAGCTGAAAATACAGCTTTATAGCTAATGGAATGCCAACATCAAATTTATTAATTAATCTTTGTTTACATACATATAAATGTTTACATACATATAAATGTGTGTGTATAATATATATATATATATATATATATATATATATATATATATATATATATATATATATATATATATATATATATATATATATATATATATATATATATATATATATATATATATATATATATATATATATATACAGAACAGACAAAATGAAAGCCAAACACCTATATTTTCCTAAGCAATGGATAATGCAACAATAATAACTACTACAACAATTATACTTCATATATGTTGAGAAACAAGATATCTTGAGGTCAATATTCAAATTGATTTCACATCAGCAACGGTTTACCTATTCTGATATATGTACTATTATTAAAGTTATTAGCATATCTAACAACTCATACTGCAAATTGTTGAGGATCCTAGATTCTAGCTCTAACAACAAACACAAATATTCAATACTGACATCACATTCCCATCGTAATATAGCATTTTGTCTCAGTCAATTTCAAGTCTATAAATTGTCTTCCTGCACTAAACACTTCTGAAAGCATCTTATTAAGTATATGTGACTGGAATTACTAGCTAGGATTCAATCATATCATTACTAGACTGTTATTGATTTATTATGGAAAGTAACTTTCTAATTTAGTTTATGCTACTACAAGATACTAATAATATAATAGCTCTGATGCAAAAAAACAATCAAGATTCCGAGCAGTTAAGAATACCCTAAAATAGTATCAATCTTGTTGTTCCATCACCATGAAGTACATTTATGATACAATCTAAAAGTGTCTACAACTGTACTAAAGGTGTATAGAGACTATGATCAACAACATGTCAACCATAAGTGTCACAAACTCACTCACACCAATGCACAAACTCACAAATGCATACACACAGCCACACATGCAATTCTCCACTCTTCCATCAACACACATACAGGTCTTATGGGGGCAGCTGCTTATGCTTATTCTCCTAATTCCCTGAATGGCCAATGGCCTATGGAGTACATATAACAAAGGCATGGCCACTACACAAATTGGTTATCCTTTTAATGCAATACAATTTCTTTTTAGAAGTGAGAATCTTCAGGATAAAAACTCTTGTGTTCCCAATCAAGTTGTTATCTATAATGTTTTTATAGATGGCAGTGACAACTGATCAGGGGCTCCTTTTGACTGGTTTCATGTTGACTGGAATATTTTTACTTATGTCTGATACCATAAACATCTCACGTAAATATAAAATGATCCCTGCAATTAGTAATTAACCCCTTGGATCTCGATGACATGACCATCATGATATGAAAAAACTTTGTGAGGCCTGGGTGATGGGAATATGCTGTCATGGAAAAGATTGTCTCATGTCTCTATTATTTCCAACTCCCTAAAGACACATTTTCTGGTTTTATGCCAATCATTTGTAAAAAAGGGAAAATATGGAAGTAGTATTTTGGTTTCAGTTATGAACATACAAAATATTATAGGGATACCATAAAGCACAAACAGGCATAATCAAGTAGTACAGTTGACTAGTGGCAGGTCCAAAATTTTCCAAAGGAGGAGTTGAATGTGTATTACAAGCCTGCAGCTCTGAGGTCTGGGGTCTGAGGGAGCAGTAGATAGGGAAGTTCAGCATTTCAAAAACATTTTATAAACGTTCTGGAGCAAATTGGAGCACTTTCGTGTTGACTGATGCTGTATTCATAAGAGTGGTAGCATCCCTAGGTTTCCAAGGTGTCAGTAAGAAAGAAAGGAACATTTGCAAAAACATGAAAATTTACAGGAAAACATATGCATATACCCAAATTTTGTTGCCTGCCTTAGCACATATATTCACATTGATGTTCAAACTACTTCAATATTTCTGTTTACTGTGTATTACTATGCTGGAGAGTGGGTACTATTCAAACCTTAAAAAATAAATAATTAGGAGATATTTGTGCTTTATATTACATTCTTTGTGGAAGAATGAATACATAACTTCAGATGCAAAAGTCAACAGTCTGTGGTACAATGGGCTGTTACTCCTAGATGAGATTTGTGGGTCTAAAGATCATGCAGTAATACTTGCACAGCAGTCTGCTTAAAATATAACTTTTGGCCAAATTGCCTGAGTTCAGGTCTATCGCATTTTTGATACAATCATGTTAATACCTGAAATCAGGTATATAAACATTTTATGGTTTAGAATAAAGTTCTTAAAGAACAGACTAAACAATATAAACAATAACAAAATATTTGTCAAAAAACTGCTGGCCAACCCCTTTCAATAATCCTTACAAAGTACTACCAATGCTCGGGAAAACAGTAAAAGAGGAAAACACTGTTTAACCCGAGAGGTAATTAAGTCTAGTAGCTCCAGAATAACATAGTGGAACAAGTGGATAACTTTGCTGATGATAACCAAACTTGACAAAGACCTGATTTTTCTCCAAAGATCTCCGAATCAAACTTATGAATTAGAAAAATATTTTTATGATCCTTAATACGGTCCTTCTTATCTGATGTTCATGGCTGAAGCACAACTCTACTTAAATTTCAAACAATAAACATGAAATGGTTCTTGCCTATAGTGCTTTAGCCTTTGCAAAGCTACATGGCAAAATCAACTAAATTTTATCTAATAAACACTTGTAGAGCAGGCATATCTAACTCATGTAAAAGACAAGGTAATTGAAGCAGAAAAAAAAAAAAACACAGTTGATTCCCAAGAAGGCAGGTTGGATAAGTACAAGGGGACTCTCCCTGCCAACTTGCTATTTTTTCTTTTTTTTCTTCTAAATAAGGTCACTTATCCTATGTTTCAATATGATACAGGGGCAAATCTACTTTAAAAGAGCATTCACATCTTACTTAATTTCCGGGGGACGATAACTGTAAGGAACAAAGGCTTCAAAGCCTCCACACAGATGAAGAGGACTGCTTTAGCGTTCAACCTTATTAATAATCCACTTTTAATCTACATTAGGCAGAACAACTTTATCAAGCTTGTCATAGAAATATCAAGACAAGCATCTGATTAAATACAGTCTGTGTCATAACAGTGTGGAGTGACCTCCAAGAATTACCATGATCTGGTGCGTCTTAATCCTTGCTTCCACCTATATGTCATAGATTTCCTCCTTCCTGATGCAACATGCACTCTATTGCAGCAAATAGAGAGTCATTTGATACTTCACAGATATCTTTCTTTGTAATAAATAATAATAATAATATAAACAAAAGTGAATATACAGCACAAAAAAATACTTTATGGACAATTATATCAATATCATCATAACATATCAAACTACACAAGAACAAATTTCCCCCAATAGAAAAAGAGACAAAATCAAACAAATACATAATTGATCATATAAAATACTGAGAAGGAATAGTTACAAATGCAACCTGCATTGTAAGTTATCCTGTCTTCATACTTGTAACAAACAAATGGTGAGATATAGTTTCAAATGATATCTGAACCTCAATGACTTGACGGGTACGTCTGTCAGATATAAAGCCAGGCAACATCGTGTAAATAGGGGAATGATTAAAAAGCAAAAGGGCAGTAAAGATCAGTCAATTTCTGAGTCAATTGAACCTGAACAAGTTTACAGCAATGGGACTGTTGTTGCCTCAACTAAAAAATATCCAAACTGAAATAAAATCTTCAATACAGGTGCTCATATCTTTTTATAATCAAGTAGATTTATTGAAAAGATCATTTTTTCTTCAAGTATTTTTTTTTCAGGAGCATACAAAGCAACTGTTACAAATAAGATGAATAATTCAATTTAAATAAAAAATAATTAAAATCTCCAGAATCACCATTAAAGAAAGCAACAAATATAGAAATGAAAATGGCATAAAAAAGTTCAAAATAACATTTTAAAAACTATTATCAACAAATGTTAGTTACACACTACATTGCAAAATACACATTCAGATAGACTATAACTGATTATCTGTAACAACTAAACTGGCCTGGCATACTATTCAATACTTTACATTTTTCTAGAATTATCTGGCCTCCTAAAATATAACAAAAATCAAGTAAACATCCAATTACATATCAAAGTATCTCTAATTTACCATTACTTTTATTCAATTTACATAAACAAATATATAGTATATCATTTCTATATCTCAGAATGAACTTGAAAGAATATATCTCCTTTGTACTAGCCACTAGGGAAAATGACACGCTCTTGTAAAAGCAAGACAGCTTGCTCTACCCAAACCCCTAAAAATCATTATCAATACAGAGAAAGCCTGCTTACTGTTTTGTATTCAGGCTTTTCAAAAACTAAAAAGAAGAAAACAAAAGAAACTCAAATTTCTTTCACACATCTACATAAGACGGCCAAATATTCAACACAGTGAATTCAGTATCTAATTGAATTTGCTTTCTAAAGGAGACGGCAAGGTAGCTTTATTTACTTTCCACCTGCAAGTACTGATTTGGCAATATAGCAAAAAGCTTTTAAGATCAGTTTCACTCTACTGTGTCACTAGATTAATTACCTTTTTTCACTATGGAAAATTAGATGACAAGTTAGATTAATATGATTATAAAACATTAGTAACATTATATAATCTCCAAAATTACCATACATCCCTACTAAACTATCACTATACAGGACAACAAAATTTACAATAAAATATAATTCATATACTTAAAGTTATGTCACTTATATCAGTTTTCATCACAATTCAAGACCTACATCATTTATCAAACCTGTGTGGAGGGTGACCTCCAAAATTACCATGATCTGCTGCGTCTGAATCCTTGCTTCCACCTATATGTCATAGATTTCCTCCTCCCTGATGTAACATGAGCTCTATTGTAACAAATAAAGTGTTTTGACATTTTATTGACATGGTCAGTCTTTATTATCAAGAAAAAGAAGACAAAGAAGAAGAAGAAAAAAAAATCAATATAATCTAATATGTACTGTGAATAAAATATTATATGAACAACCATATTTGCGATGAAGATATGTTGTGATAAGTAATACCCAACCCTAAATAATTGAGATGAAGAAACATCAAAAGAAACAAAAAATCCAATAGCATAAACACAACAAAGGCTTTTCCTGAAATAGCATTGGCCCATCATACACTGAACCCATTGGCTCTGGGTTGACTGGGAGACAGAACATTTATGCCTGGTCTTCTCTCCAGGTAACTTCAACTGGGCTTGCTTAACCCAATCGTGCTGGGTGTCACATATATGAGACACTGGTGCACTCCGATGCAGCAACGGTGCGTGGCCGGCGGGCAGACAGACTCCAGGAAGCTCCGCCCGCCGATTTTGTAGCCGCCCGGAATTTTTAAAATTTGGCTACAAAATGTACCCGGCGTGAGTGTGTTAACAGGAGCACAACATGGACCTCAGAGAATAACAAATACCTTTATCTTGTCTAACTTATTCGATCTGGGTGACGTGACCAACAGGTCATGAATAAATTTAGCTTGAGGGGCAGGTGACATGAACATGCCAACATGGGGAAAACTGGTTGCCGGCCAGGTGATGCGAACTTGCTGTCATGCGCGAAGGCTAGGGTGATGGAAAAGACTTGCCACAAGTGCACAAACCTCTTGGAGGGTGTTTAGACTTGTATGGCATTTAGAAAAGGGCTTTTGCATTATTCCCATCTATAAACAAGTGTGGAATGTAATGTCTGTGAGCCATGACTTCCGGCTACAGGCAGCATCCTATTCCTGGTTGCCATAACTGGTTGTGCAGGTTGTATTACAGAAAACTGAATATTGTTAAAACAAAATTTCAAATGACAAATAACAAAATTTTATATATTCTTTTTTTTCTTGCACTGAGTTATTTCCTACACAGAGAGATGATATGGATTCTGTGCAAGGAGAACACAGTCAAATGGACTTGCCTCTGGGGCCTTTTTTAGAAGCATCTGGGGCATAGCAGTCGACACACCCCACCAACGATTTGATATGATTTTTCTTTTTAATATCACTTGTATGCAAAATATAATTTCAATATTTTTACATATTCTGAGATGCATGTTATGCCTTTTAGTTGCTAGATCAGACTTAGATTCTATATCAAGACTGAATGTACAAGACTGACTGCAGTTTTATTGAAGGACCCCTCCCCCCTCATTTTTGCACCTCTTTTATTTTAGAACTATGTGATTCTATACAGTGATATACAAGGTTGCTACCCTCATGGCTTAAGTACTTCCCTTTCAGTGTCATACTTCAAGACTGTCAAGTCTGACAGAGTGCCAAAGACAATGTGAGTAGTCGACATGTGGAGACATATCTTGTAAACAAGAGCAAAGCTTACTTACAGGTTCACATCAACAGCAAGAGAGCGTCCTGTTTTGGTGATTTATGTGCTACAACTCACCCTTTATATAAAATAATAGCCAATCACAGTCTTGAACATCCCTTTCTCCCTCAAGCAATGCCCCAAGGCATGTGGTGTGGGCATGAGGATTCCTTTTAAAGAACAGCATAAAATGAAATGCATTCATCATCGTGACATGACGTGAATGACCCGTTGCCTAGAACTGAGTCCATGTTGGCCATAACATAAAAAACAGATTATCCAGAGCCATGACCAAGTCGGCCATGATATGAACCCAACACCATCCGTAGGCTATGAGTTAAATAGCTATGTGAAATACAAGATACAGACATCTAAATATGGTGAAAAACCCAATTTATGATTAAATAGAACAGGCCTGATTTCTTGAAATCAAATACACATAACATCAGTTTGGCATGGGATTAGTCTCACGGAATGAGCACAGGCCAGGACAGGCCCCAAGATTGCAGCCTGGCACAAAGATTCCTAGGCCAGCTAACAACTCTCTGAGCACACCTGAGGCAATAGGTTGATATTTTCATTCTATCTGAGATCCCTGAATAATGAGTTGAATGGATAACTAATATAATAAATCATTCTAATAATGCAAGGTAACCCCACAAGGCACCAAGCAAAGTGTCCCTTGAGCCATGCATTATAAAGAATGATCCTACCACACATCCCATTGCCAGGTAGATGATGATGATACAAATTACACACAAATAAACTCTAGTCATTGTTGGTGTAATACAATTCCTACATATTTAAAAAAAACTTCTTTTCTTACCACTCTCTTATCCAATATATCCTTCCCAAGCACCATAAAAATTGAGTATCAATAAATCTTATATATATCTTAACGGTTAAAATTAAAAATTGTCCAAGCCAGTGCTATTATTCGCTTAATATTCTGATTTCTCTCCACACAAATAACTTAATACATACTACCATCTATATACATTATAATCGCTATAGCTGGAAGAGGAGAGGAGAAAACTGGCCATATCATCTTTATTTCTGCATATTTTGCTCTAAAACTCTGTTGGGAAATGCACGAGAAAAGCCACAATAACATAAATATATTCAAAACTTTTGGAATATTCCTAAAATATCAGTGAAATGACTAGATGGGTATTCGCTGTAATTCCACTCCTATTACAGACTTTACCTTTAACTATACATACGATTATTAGTTTCATCTGAGAAAAAATGTAAAATTGCCATATCTAACAAAGGGGGGTGGGGGTGGGGAGAGGAATCCAAGCTACAAGTTCTTAATGGCATTTAGCTTACCATGGCACTTGAATATCACACTTATTACTCAACCAAAGACTGCAATTCCTGTTTTGAATCAGTAAAAATAATCTAATCAAACATTATTTGATCCTACAGCATCTCATAATATTCTAGTGTATGTTCAATGGCTCTATTAACTACACCTAATATCATCTGTATATACATAATTTTCTTTCTATACTCATTGAAAACAAATCTGCATATACAAACGTACAAAAGTACATACATTCATATATAAATATATGCATACCTGATGATGTAATTTCAATATCTAACTATCCATGGATTTTATCCTAAGTGCAAAGGCAAGGTAACTATATATGGATTTATCAACTATAAGCACTAATCAATAAGAATACAGAAATAAATAAATCAATCAATCATGTTTAATGTTATTCTACAATGCTATCATATTCAATACCTTTTTTCACAATGTAAGATTAGATAGTGGGTCATGTGCAATTAATTTAATAAGCAACATATTCCATTAACTTCTGAAAATGCTATACATTCTGAACAAAATTACAATCAAGCACCTACATATTTTACTACAAAATTCAGTCTCATATTAGTAAGGTTATGATATTGCTTCACAGTTTTAATTAAGTCTATACTGCATCATCATTTCGCTCAAATTTCTGAAGTCGAAAACATACCTAAGCCTTTTTCTTAATCCTCCCATATTCAATAACAAAAATCAACCTTAAAGCAACTGGATTTACGATATATCAAGTAAGAGTGGACAGACTGTCATTTCAATCCATCCTATGTTTTTATACAAAGCAAACAACCTTTTCGGAAAATTGTTCAGTTCTGTATAGTCAACACATTTAATATTCTTCATCTGTTAGGGAATCAAAATGCCAAAACAAAATTAGAAGAAAAAAAATCTACCCTATTAGCTGCTCACATTACTTCTAGGTAATGAAAAAAATACTCTTACCTGTAGCAATCACAAAAACTATCATCACGAAAGCTATAACGACAGTTGGACACATCATTAATGTTATTCCCGCATGACTCCCTCGTCAAAGTAATATAATTGCTTTCACATCTGGACCTTAATCAAAAGAGTACTATCCCCCAACTTTCAGACTCAAGCAAAAACGTCAACAACTATGAATTACCTGACGTATTCACTGGTAAGTCTCATAATGTGTAGAGAGAGTGGGTTGAGTGCTGGTGGGAGACAACTTTCCGCATCACTAAGAGGAATTCGTTCCCCAGTATCTAAGTTCAGCACAGTCACTTGTTTCAGAATTTCCTGAAAGGACAAAAGAAGTCAGCATATATGTTCATTGTAACTAGTCTACAAAGATACTTGATTCTCCAAACAGTCAAAATCAAAACAATTCATGGATGTATCAATTAACAAAGATTATATATTGATTATCACATTACTCTTGCCTTATCATATCATTACAATACTGTCAAACAATGTTATCACATCACTCTGCAAGAACATATCTGCCACAATCTTTTTTTTTAAGATTCATCCTTTCACAACAGAAACATTCACATTATTCCTTATTACTCTCTAAAACACCTGTTTTTCCTGCCATTTTTACTGGATATAAACATCTTTCATTTTTTTCTACTGTTCTCTCTATTTCTTTGCTCCAGACATATGTAATAACATAAAAATCAACATTCATTATCAAGGATTAAAC